GGTGTCAGAAACTGCAAACAGACAAAAACAGTTTTCTCAGTAGGATACAGCGTGTGAAAACACAAGCTGAATATAATTTATTTAACAATATTTTAATCAGGTTTGCTTCGATGCGTCACTCACAAGACAAATGGCTGAAAATAGAAGATTTCCCATCACATCATCACTTTGAGAGGAATCTGACCTAAAAGCTTCAGGGATCCAAAAATATAATGCCTGAATATTAAGCAGACACGTTGCTGCTATGTGCTGCATCCTTTGAGGAGAAGCTAAAACTTTTTATAATGAGCTGAAGAGTAAAGCCCAATAGTCCTTATTGTGCAAAAATAGTTGAAAAGGCTTCAAGGCAAAACTGGGCTGAAAGGACCTTGAAATAATGAGTCTGTGATCCTAATGAGTCTGTGAAAATGAAATATATCCGTTTTACAGGTGCTAAAATGAATGAAATATGAAAGCTCATGAAAGGATTTATTAAAAGAGCATGGCTCCCGCTGTTTTTAACAGCTGATTTTCTGGTTGATTTAAAGATTTTATCAACACAAATAACTAAAAGTATAAAACAAACTCAAACTACTGAAATAAGTACGCAGTTAGTGGAAACAAGAATTAGCAATTAGAAAGAGAAATCTTATTTATTTCTGGACAATGGATGATTGATGTTGAAAGAGTCAAAACATTTTTTACTAACTCTCAAAACAATGTGTGCTATTTTTATACAGCTTCAGGAAAAAAAAAGTTTTTGTAAAAGTCATTAGAGCAATACTAGTCGCGCTCAATATTCATGTAAGAAATGACAACCTACCCATTGCCTTATGCCCCCTTCTCATTGGACATAGGGCACCATGGCATTGCAAATCAGCCAGAATGAGGGTGATCTTTGCAGAGTCTTGCAAAGATCCTCTGGAGTTGAATGAGACTGAGCATAAGAGTTCCTTGAGTGTTTTAGACAAGTAAGAAAATGTCTGTGGTGAGGAATGGGATTGGTGACTGATGGTTCATTTCCAGGTGGCAGCACATCCAGTTCCTGGATGCTGCTTGGCAGGGAATGCTAGCAGCACAGGTCCAGCTGCACCTGCATGGTTTGGTCATAAGAGAATTTGAAGCTGAAGTCATGCCAAAGCTTCAACCTAATCATGCTCATGGCAGGCAGGCAGCACTCCAAATAAGTTAATTTAACGCAATTTGTGGCACAGCTGCAATGCTCACTGCATCCATCAGCTGCTCCAGTTGCAACCAAAAGGATCTCATAGAGCAACTGCAAACAGCTCAGCTCCTTAATCAGGCTTGTTGCAAACTGAGATTGATATGCACTCGGCTTCCCATAGAACAGGGCTATGATGGACAGATGGGAAGAAGTGCACACACCTCCAAATCGTGCATATATTAGTTGCTTGTCAGCAGCATGGGTAAGTTGTGAGTGTTTTCAAGGTGCAGTTCTAATGCAAACGCTGTCAAAGAGGAAGTCCGGAATCCCATTCAGCAATTCGGAGGGATTAGGAAGACAATCAGGAAATTTCACAGCCACAGCATAACTTCCATTTTCACGTTTTCTCTGCATGATTTTTTCATACTTCACCAAGTATAACATTTTGTTCCAGGTTAAGTTTATTCCACTAAAGGGCAACCGATTAGCCACAGTCCTGCAAGATTTGAATGGTCCTGGAGGTCAAACATAATTTATGGTCGTTTTAATCGAGTGTGAAGGAAAGTTTAGAATCAGATACCTCAAAGGGTAACGTTGGAACATTTTAAACGCTGCTTTTCAATCCTTCTGGCAATTAAAAGAAAAAAGTAAAAAGTTCATCTGGTTAGATTATTAAAAAAAGAAAAAAACTCTTTTGATCAGATAATATAGCTTCAAACCTTTTCTGCTACTACAGGGAAAACTTCAAGGTTGTGTAACAAATGATAAACTGCTGCATCAGGAAAACAATTACAGCACCTGAATGTGTTTCACAATGCAGTTAATCATTGTTCCTTGAACCTGCAAGCTGAGATGTGTTGCCTTGAATTAAACGATTCCAGCTATGAAACTTTTATATCATGCCAAATGTAAAAGGCTCTCCATGGCTACATCTCAATTAAGAATAATTAAAACAAAAGAGGCTGATCATAATGAAGCAAATGCTAAAGCACCTGTCGTATAGTTTATCCTCTCCCATCTCAATGTAATTTTCAGCACTAATAATGATGAGTAATAACACTCCCAGAAGCAAAAAATGAGGCATTAAACTCAGCAGGAGGCGTGCTGCCAAGATCTGACGTCAAAACTTTTCTCATAATGTGCTGATGTTTCATTTCGTATAATAATGCAGAACATTTCATAAAGATCCAGTAGAGACACATTCCACTGCTGCAGACAGGTGTCTCATCCCATCAAACTAAAAAGGCTGAGATAACTGCAGACCATCGCTTGTCGTGACTGTGAGCCGAGATGAGGATGATGCTTTTATTTTTAGCCTTTCTATTCGTGTGACTGAGGTGTGAGTTTGTCTGAGGCGATGTGAGATTTAACCAGGAGAAAGACGAAGCACGAGCTGGAGTCATTTCAGAAAAACATTAGGCAAATTTCAATTTGACTTTGTACTTAAAGTAAAAATATGAACATTTAATGACCCATTTTAAAAATCTATTAAAGCTGAAGGGCATATATTATTTGGATAATTTTAAGGGATATTCACAAACCTCCATTGGGTAATCAGTGGAAGTACTTCAACAGGTGAATTACTTTCAGAGCTGATAGAAACAGGTGTGAGGATCAGATGGTGCTTTAGTTCAACAGCTTGTGCACTAAAGCACAAGCTGTTGTGCTTTAGTGCACAAGATTCAGGTTAGAGCAGAACCTGAGTCTTTGACTCCAACATTAAACATCTCTGAGCCTTTTGGTTTAGCAGTGCACCAGACACCGCTTTTGCCATGTGTGTCAAACTGGTTGGATCTATGTACAGTATCCATCTCCATCTATCCAGACATATACTCTACAAATAGTAGCCAAAAATGTCCACTTTGGAAAATATTTAAAAGCATGTGGGCAGAAGGTGCAAAAGAAAATATCTGTTAAGGAGGTCGCAGCATATCTTTCATGGTAAAAGTCTCTCTGACATCTAAATGAGAAGTTTTACTACAAACCCCTTTGATTGGCTGTACAATGAGACATAATAGTCTCATTAACCCAAATATGTCTCTGATTGGTTGATCTGTCCCTCTTGAGGACTCCTTCCCCAGGAAGCAGGCATCTTCAGAGACTAAACCTTCAAATCTATGTTCGACCAGCTCAGAGAGGATTGATCAACCTTACAGATTTGATTACTTTTCTTTTTCTAATGCTAAAATCTGATTGATCAAGGCTGGTTCCAAATCTATTTCTCCCCTTTTTTCTCTCACAAATTTGATTCAGATTAAAAATTACAATCTGAACTCAAAAATAAACGTCCTCTCTTGAGGTGTCTGAGAAATCACCAAACCTTTGATCATTTTTAAGCATTTTATCAGTTTTGATAGCAACATTTTATTTAAGTTTATTTACAAGTAGACATTTTCTCTCACTTTATTTGTTAGTATGCTTTTTTAACCAAGAAACCATTAATGGAAGAAAATCAGAAAGAACCTGAATAATACATTTAGTTCTGGTTTTTACCGGTGATAAGCTCTGACTGATTCTTCTAATAATCTGTAACTGGATTTTATATCAAACTGATTAGAAAACATTTAAAGGGTTTACACATTATCCATATTTACTATTGATTCACAAATTAAGTAAATCCCAACATTACTTGGTTTTGACAAAAGTTAAAACGTTTTTTCCAATCATGCAGTTGCACACAAATCCAACAGTAATGCAGTGTACTCCTCAGAGAAGATGCCCTTCATCCCTTAACATGGTTAATATCATGCACAAGCGCAACCACTATTGCACAGTTATGACATTAGTGATGCAACTTACAAACAGGATCCACTATAAAAGTAGCAATTAAGGTTCAATTATAGTCTGTATGACAGTGCCTTCAAAAAGCGTCACCCTGTTGGATGTTTCACCATTTTGAAAGCTTTTACAAATCCATCATGAGCAATAACATGTAGCTTTTTTGATGAAAAACTAACCTTAAAATCAAAGCTAAAGCTAATTACTACCCCATAATGACAGTGAAAAACTTTGTTAGCCTGATGGCATAATTGTCTAAGTCAAAATTTAACATTTTTGGAAAAAGAGAAAAAACACATTTTTCAGCAAAACTTAGGCAAATATTGATTTTGGGCTGTAACAAGTAAAAATCTGAATTTCCTCCAGTTTGGTTTGTCTTGCGGACCCTGAAGGGTTTGAGTGAAAACAAAAAGTGCGTCAACAGTTCAATGCTGTCCTCTTAAAAAGCCAAACTCTGTTCGTCATGATTGATCTGTTAAAGTAATAAAAAGGTTCAAACATCCAAGGGGATGGGTAAATCTGGTCACTTACTTTCATATTTAAATACCTTCATAAAACAGCTGAGCAGAATGTTTTAGTTAGAGGTGGGAACATATAAAAAAACTGAAACACAATGTTAACCCCTTCATTTTATATAATAATACAGTGGAAGTTTTTTTTTTTTTTTGATAGCTTCATTAGAGGTTGTCAAATTCCCAAAAGTGATTGCAATAAAAATCTACAAGCCTGCAAAACTAGCTGAAGGTTTTATTTATCTTGGCTCACAAGGATGAGATTTCAAGTCCAGGTGTGAAGAGACTGGCGTGCACATTCAATCATTACACGAAGAGTACGCAGATAGACACTCAAGCTACCTTTTCACCTTGTACTGTAAAATAGTAACATAAAAATTATTCTATGTGCTCCAAAACATTACCAATATGACTGGTGAAAAGGTAGCAAGGTATGAGAAATTTCCATCTTTAGTGCAAAATCTGTCACATTTATGAATAATTTCTAAACCCAACGTAAACTGCAGTCCAGTTCTCACTGCAGACACAATCCATGCCATGCAAGCATGATGCTGCCATACACTTACTGAGCATTGGTTGAGTCCATACTGTACTCCTCTTGGTACCTGGACGCAGCACACATGAACACAGACAGGCACATGTTAGGTTGAGTCTGAGACAGCAGGCGAGGGAAGGAAAGTGTGAAAAGACAGGAGAGAAGAGAAGACCACTCGGGATCCCACGTCAATTTATTTGCATGTACTTACAGGTGTGAGGAAAACAAAACAAATTCATAACCTTCACAAACTGAAGCAGTTTATGCAGCAACAAACAACAAAGCAACAACTGGTGCCAGAGGGGAATCTCAATATGTCAGAATATCATAAAAAAGTTTATTCATTTAAAAAATTCAGCTTGAAATGATAAACTAAATATCTGTTTATTTTGGGCTTTCAATAATTTACAGCTACTGAAAAGCAAAACGTAGTTTCTCAGAAACAAGAACACAAGTTGGAGCCACTAAAAATATATATATTCTCAATGCAGACTTGTTATGTTTTGGTGATGTTGTAGCTTATATTTCTCCAGAAGACAGTTACTGACATCCTGCACAAGGAGGGTAAGCTACAATAAATCATCCCTAAAAATCTGGTTTTTCAGATTATCGTACACAATAATCCCAATATTACTGGAAAGTCAAGTGGAAGGAAAAAATGTGCGTGAAAAAGCATGTAACTAAACCTAGAGATATTGTTATAAAATGTTTAGGAAAGATGGTCAAAAGTCAGGTTTTCAGTTGAATGTTAGTTTTTGAAAAGCGACTGAAGAATAATAAAATCCAAATAGTTCAAGATCAAATGTGACATTTCTACAGTCAGTGGCGACTGCAACCCGTTTCATAACAAGGAACAGTCAGCGCATTTTACTGCACTTCATGTTTCCTTCTGTAAGCCTGTCACAATACACAAGTAATCAATTAATCACATGGAAAATTAAAATGAGCTCAAAAATTTCCATTCAGGTCTTTAAGAGTTTTTGAAGGGTAAATTTGTTGACAGAATTATTTATGGTTTTGGTTGAAAGTTTCCCATTTCTGTTTTATTATTTTTGTTTGTTGGGTTTTAATTTATATTTTCAAGATATCTTCCTGTTCCAGTGTTAACCTGCATTACTATTATGCCTTTATTGATATATTACGTACTTGAAACAATATTATTGTTTGCTGCGATAACAAATTATTACGACATTTATCATCCAGCAAAATTTGTTATCATGACAGTCCTGCTAACAAGCTTTGTAAGAAACCTGATTAAAATTTTCAACAGGACTTGGCTGCTGCACTGCCAAAGGTATCAATATCTGATTTAATGATTATTGTGTCACGCAACGTTGATGCAGTAATTTAAGCAAAATGAGCCTCAACTAAATACTGAATGCATAAACTGTATATGTCATGTACATACTTTTCATTAGTCAAATAGTTCTGTTTTTTTAATATTGGTCACATATAAGAAGCAAATTTTCAGAGAGGCGTAAAGCTGGATATAAGCAGAATTTACATAAATTAAGAATTGAAACATGTCCCTGTTTGTGTTATAAATATATGTAACATTTCCTTTTTTAATGGAATAAATAAACTTTTTTGATGAAATTCTTATTTATTGAGATGCCTCCGTGTATTATAAAATTATAGAATGAGTAAAAAAGAGTATTCTAGTTAAATTCAGTCAGCTGAACATTCAGTTTGCCCAGTTCATTACATTTCTGCTACAGATCCATCCTCAGCAAAGTTTTACTGAGATCAGCTTCCAAAAACCAGTAATAATTACACACATTTGATTGAAAAGGCTTGAAATTTTTACACGTTAGAAAGAGAAATGACAGCTGATAGAAAATGCAAACCACAGGAGATCAGTAAGAAAATGTGCAGCAAAAGTGGAAGGCATACACATATTTATGTAAAGAACTAATTAGTCGACAGAGCTAACAGAAAAAGATATAAAGTTTATTTAATCTGTACTCTGCACACATCAATTTTTGCAATAAAATAAAATAAAAAATAAACCCAGCAAATAAATCTGCTGATAAAATGAGGCAACATTCTCCACTTATGAATTGTTAAAGCCGTAGGTATTTAATGCAAGCAGATTTTTATTCCCTGCAGCGCTGTAAATCATGCTCAAGAGTATTAAGCCTTGAAAGGATGTGATATATAAAAGATCAATATTTGGCAGTGGATTTAGTTATCCAGGTCTGAAAGAAGCATCTTTAAATGGAGCATCTTCTAAGTTGAATGTGGTCAAAAGGGCCAAGACTGTCAATCATTTCGTCACCACAGAGAATAACTGATTCATGCTGTGTGGACAGATTCCATAGAAGTGGAAAAGCTTTCAGTGGAAGCACTTTCTAAAGATTCATATCAATAATGCTTTCACAATGTAAGAAGCCTAAGAAGAAGATTAATCATTTATCATAATATATGTGAAAAAGTTTTACAACTGTATAAGTGATGTCAACATAAAGTATGGAGGAAAAGAAAAAAATCCTTAAGGATTATAATAATAATTCTAAAAATAATTAGTTTTATCACAACAAAACAAAATAAAATATCTATATAACCTAGTAAATAATGTAAAAAATATATATATTAAAATATATATTCTTACTGTTAAACTGACTTAAAACAAATTCCTACTTTGAAAGGATGTGAAAAGATCCTGCAAGTTTACTTAAGTATGCAGTGTTGGAATATTTACTCTCTCATGTTTCTGGCTCTTCTTCTATCTGGATTTAATCGTTTGGCAACCAATGAGACAAAAATAAACAATCAGAAAGTGATTGCTTGCCTATATCTGGGATATTACATAGCAACAAGAGCATTAGCTCCTTGTTTCTGCTTCAACTGACCATTTGTGGCCATTTGTCAGCACTTTGATATGCAATAAAGCTATTAAGAGCTTAGATAGTTCAGCTGTAAAGACAACAGCTGCACCTTTAAGCTCTGCTAGCGTCTGTTAGCGTGCAGCAACTACGATCAAATACAAAAAGAGCTTAAAATTGAGATATAGTGAAGAAACCAACACATGTAAAGAAAGTGTTACATGCTGTAGCAAATTTTTTTTTATTCTTACTATAATTACAATAATTATAGTAAAATATATATATGGAAGAGGTGAAATGATCCTTACCTCCTACGAAATTTTAGATGGCACCTATGAGCTGCGCTCCTGAGGACCAGCATTTTCATAGCGTGCCTTGAACTGCTTTTACTGAGAACCGCCTTAAGGGCTGAAGCACTGGAAGTGGGAGGACCTCACACATGTATCTCCACATCAGTTGCAAGCAAGAATCGATTTGTTGTTCTCACTTTACTGAAAGCTTTCTGAAAACTACATTTCCCAGACTGCCCTTGCAGAGGCATTTTAAATTATTTATTTTAAAAATATCAAGTAAGTTCAGCCACAGAGAAGTAATATGAGAGCAGCGATTATGTCGTTTCAGCCAGCGATAAGCTTCATTACAATGCATTTTTACTCTATGAAGTGGCTGCAACATTTGATGCTCCTGTAAACTTTTCAGTAAATAACTGATTTAAATTTTGTTTCTCTTTACTCACTGATTCATGCATCTACTATGGGGACTTTGAATGCATGCATGCTTCCTCTGAGTGTCTGCATATGTTGGACTCAGTCCATCATGACACTGAGATTTATAGTCCATTCAATAAGCTCTTAATCACCACTGTTTTTATACAAGGTGGGCTAGTCGCCCTCATCTATCAGAATAAATTACTGGCAGGTCCTGTTATTCACTTCACTCCTAGAAACTACCAGGTCACCCCAGAGGGTCTGAAGTGAAGAGCAGGCAAGGTTATTCAATATGCTGCAACATCTACCTCAAATCAGCTGGAGAATATCTGAAATCTTCATAAAACACTGGGGTTTTAATGGGGTGGGAAATTAGTATATTTGATTGCAAATGCTTTTTAAAAGTGATGCTCTCTTTCATTGCATGCTTTTGTGTTTGATTATTGAGTGTAAAAGATTTTGAAAGTATACAATTTTGAAACATGAGGTTTCTCCAAGTCCTTTTAATGAGATACCAGAGTTTTTTTTTCTGTAGCTGTAGAGACCTAAGGTCTCCATCTCCAGTGCTTGAGGGTCAATTGTCCTGCAACGTTTGAATGCATCCCTGCTCAAACACACCTGAACCATATGGCTGCATCACTTCCTCAGCAGTAACTTCCCTTGATAATGATGCATCCTTTGGATTCATGTGTTTTCAACAGGAATGTATGAAAAAGGGGCAGGATGGTGAGTTTTTATGACGGGAGTTGGAGCCCCTAGTCAAAGAATATAGTGCTCTGAAAAAAAGTTACTACATCATTTCCAAGCTTAAAAGGAAGTCCTTGTTTGGAAACTAAAAGAGCTCCACCCCTCCGTCTTTTTAAGGTAACACTATTTTAAAACGACAGTTGGCTGGAAACAGTTGGCCTGTTTGTTCAGCAGCCAACTGCAGTCTTTCTTCAGCAGCTGATGAAGGCCCAGTTGATTAATCAGCTGACACCGTCGCTTTGACACCTAATGTTTCTCTACAACAAAGGAGAACTGAAAACGGTGCAACATTTAGTTCAATAAACACACTTACTTCAATGCAGCTAGTAAGTTTAGCCACAGTTTATTTGGTTTGTTGAATGTATGAAAGTCAAAATAACAAATGTTATTAACATTGTCATAAGTAAGTTTCAATTTTCTTTAAATATTGTTTCTTTTTCGTTTTAAATATTAGCAATAGATACATTTTAACATTTTTATTTTACATTTACTTTTACTTAATGCTATCATTTCATGAGAATCCAACACTGGTCCATTAATAATAAATTATTCAACCTAAAATTACTTTGTTTACATAAAGCCTGTGACACGAGTGTCAAGAGACATGGATAATAGTTTCCATATATTGCTAAAAATAATTACGGAAAAATGGATACATACATGCCTGAAAACATGTTTTGTTTTTAAAGCTCTGACCTGAGAGACTTTATCCTGAATGTTTAAAAAACAATTATGACAGATGGCATGCAGCTTACTGCAATTAAATCCCTCCATTAAGTTTGAGGTGTTCA